ATATAAACACATATATATATATCTATATATACATACATATATACACATACATCTATGAACATATATATATATATGTAAGAAATGAATATACGACTATGTGTGCACGTACACACAGAAACACATGCCTCAACAACCCACATGTCTCCGCCCTGGGGGCATCAAAGCTGCCGCGAGTGCGTTGCACCTCTACGCAAGCTGGAAACATCATGGAAACACACAGAAAGGAAAAAGGGAAGGGAGGAGGAGAAATCAGAGACGCATTAACGCGAAGACGACCACAAAATGAGAAAGGGAGAGGGAAAGAGAGAGAGAGAGAGAAAGATATATAGAATGCGGGCGCTCGGGAGGAATGCGGCCGACGCATGTGTACATGTATACAGACAGAGAGAGAACAACAAACAAGACAGAGAGAGCGAGAGGGAGGGAGATGGATCAAGAGGGCAGATTGGTCGATGGGTGGCGAGACGGCGCCAAGCAAGGTCCGAAGAGGACAAGCGAACAGCAGGACCCGTGCAGCGGGGAGACAGGAACGCCAAGCCTGCCATGCCGCGCGCGCCACCGATGCCCTGAGGAGCGCGCTTTGTTTGTGAGCGGCGTCATCGCCCATCTCTCGAGTGTCGCCAGGGGTGGCCCTGGCCCAAGGTTGACTACCTCCCAGGCCACCCCAACCCAACCCGAAGACCCGAACTTCGCCCGAATTTCGTGTTGGGGGGGCGTGCGGGATTCATATGTTTTTTCAACGTTCCCCCCCCACCACCGGAAGTGGAGGGCACATCGGGGCCTTCGGGTCGGGTTGGGGTGGCTTGGCGGGCGGTGAAATGTGGCCCCAGCTTCTCAACGGAGGCCCTCGTGGCCTCCACAGCACGCCCCACGAGGCGTCGACGGGCTCCTCAACGGGGCGACGAGCGTCGGGAGCGGCCAAGAGGGGGGTGTCCAAGAGGGGGGGTGCAAATCATGACCGGCGGCATGTGCGCGGCCCAGCGAGGGGGCCAGGGACGTAATGAAATAAGAAGAGGCGCCATGAAATCTGGAGAGATCTCATGGCCCCCGCCATGATATCCACCCCCCCTTAGTCATCACCCCCTTCTTGCCCGCTCCCGAGAGCGCCCTCGAGAGGCCGCCGGCCCGGGCCGCGAGGCGCGACGCGCCTCTGTCTTCTCGAGGAGCCTCGGAGGGTGCGGTAGCGCCAGCGCGTGCCTGTCCACCGAAGCCCTGCAACAGTACGACGCAGGCGGTGCGGCGAGGGCCGACACGGGCAGCGCGCTGCGCTATCGGCAGAGCTGAGGTGGGCGAGCACACAGTTGGGCGAGCGCACGGCCTGAGGGTCATCTAGGGGGCCACATGCGAACCCTATTCTGAGGGGGAGGGTGGGGTTCACTCCGCTCGGGAGCTTCCGAACGGAGTGAACCCCACCGTCCCCCTCAGAAATCGTGGGGGGGAGGGGTAGGGTTCGCATGTGGCCCCCTATCATCGATCTTCGCGCCCCAAGCGGTGGCTGGGTCTCCTGCAGACTGGCTCTGGAACCGAACCGGCCGAACCGAAGTGGCATGAACCGGCGGCGTTTTCGACAAAACCCGGACCGATCGTTCTCTTCGCCCCAATCCCACAGCGCCGACGTCGTGATTTTCCGCAACGTGGATCCCGGAAGTATGGGCCACTTCCCCAGGACAGGCTTTTCATCCCGAATCGGTTTCTGACGGTCCCCGGGCCCAGTGAGGGCACAGGAAAGGAAAAAACAAAAGCAACAAAAAAAACAAAAAACCTGGCGAAGGACCCAACCATATGCAGCTATGAGTACTCGTCGCCTCCGCCTCCTTCACCTCCTCTGCGCTGCACCCCTGGGGCCTGCAGTGGCGCTTCCTGTGGGGCCACGGAACGTGTGAGGGGTGTCCAGAAACAGGAGTGTCGCCTTAGTGGGCCCTGGAAACGACAGGGCCGTTTTTTAATCGGTTCCGTTTTGCCGTTTTTGTTGCCGGTTCCGACGCCGTTTTTTACCGGTTCCGTCGCCGTTCTTTTACAGGTTCCCGCTCCTGTTCCAATCCTGGAGCCGTTTTTTTGCCGTTTCCGGTCGCCGTTTTTGTTACTGTTTCCATTTTCAAGGGACACTTTCTCGGAAACGGTGAAAAAACGGCCCTGCCGTTTCCGGGGCCCACTAAGGCCACGACACGTGTGAGGAGTGTGCCGAAACGGGGGTGTCCCCCACGGGCGGGCGGGGCGCCACTGGGGCACTCGGTGGAGCTCCCCGTGGGGCCCTGTGGGGCGTGCCGCAGCTGGTGGCGAGGATGGTGGTGATGACGGCGATGATGACGACGATGGTGGTGGTGATGATGACGGCCAGGATGTTGATGGTGATGATGATGATGATGATGATGATGATGATGATGATGATGATGATGATGATGATGATGATGGTGATGATGATGATGATGATGACGATAACTGATGATAACTGATGATAACTGATGGTGGTGGTGATGATGATGATGATGATGGTGATGACGATGATGACGGGGATGATGATGGTGATGGCGATGCTGATGATAATAGTAATGATCATAACATGATAATAAAGAAAATAAGAATAACGATAAGAATAACCATAATAAGAATGATATTAATAAAAACAAAAATATATAATGATAATAATACTGATAATGATAATGACGACGATAATAATAATAATAATAATAATAATAATGATGATGGTGATGATGATGGTGGTGATGATAATAATGAGGTTGATGATCATAATGATGGTGACCATGGTCATGATCATGATTATGGTGGTGATGACGATAACGATGACGACGACGATGACCATGACGATGACGATGACGATGACGACGACAATGACGATGACGATGACGATGACGACGACGACGACGATGATGAGGATGATGATGATGATGAAGATGATGATGATGATGTTGATGGTGATGATGCTGACGATGACGATGATGCTATCGATGACGATGACGATGACGATGACGATGACGATGATCATGATGATGAGGACGGTGATGATGATGATAACGGTTGGTGATTGGTGTTGGTAATGATGACAATCATGAGGATGAGGATGTGGTTGAGAATGAGCATGAAGATGGGGATGAGGAAGAGGATGACGATGATGATGACGATAATGGTGATGATGATAATGATGCTGATGATGATCATGATGATGCTGATGATGACGGCGATAATGGTGGTAATGATGATGATGATGCTGATACGATGCTGATATGCTGGGTAGAGGGAGGAGGAGGAGGAGGAGGAGGAGGAGGAGGAGGAGGAGGAGGAGGAGGAGGGCGGGAGAAGGTGACGCGGGGCGCTGTCTCTTCAACAGGATGGTTGGGGGGAAACAAAAACAACAACAACAACAACAACAACAACAACAACAACAACAACAACAACAATAACAACAACAACAACAACAACAACAACAACAACAACAACAACAACAACAACAACAACAACAACAAATCCCGTCGCATGTGTCTCGCAAACAGAAAGTGGGGGGTAGCTCGAAGACCGAACCGAACTGGTTCCAACTCCGACGCCGAGCTGGAACGACCCTCCCCACCCAACCAGACCGAGACGCACCGAGCCAGAGCGGCCCTCCTAGCGAGCGATGCCGCGCAGGGCGCTCTGCGGCCGGCGCGGAGCGTGTTGGGGCCGCCGCCTCCCCTTCCCCCCACCCGTTTCCCCCTGCCTCCCTCCCCCCTCCCACCCACTCCTCCTCCTCCGTAGCCATTTTGGCTCGAACATCCGCCTCGCGAACACCGTCACGTCGAAGAGCTCCCAGGAGACCAGGACTCCGACGATGGCCACCATCGATGCTCGAGACAAAGGAAAGCGCATCTGGGGCGGCACCAGCATCCGCCATCCTGACAAGGCGCGAGCTGCGCGAGGGCACGGCGTCTTGCCAACCAGGAAGGCGGGCAGGTACTGCTTCAACGAGGCCACGAGGACGCGGCCCGCGGCACTGTCGAAGCCGTCCAGACAGAGGTTCACGACGTAGGTAATAAGGATGACATCGACCTCCACTGCCGTGGCGAAGGTCTGGTCCGTCCAGCGGCACCACTCCTCGAACTTCTTGGCAGCCCCCCAGTTGTTGGCCACCGCCGTATCCGAGAAGGCCGCCGACTCCAGCACCGACAGGGCCCCGCCCAGGATGCGTCCTCGCCCTCTGCTCTGTCAGGGTGGCGGCCCGCTGCCGTCGGAGTTCGGGAGGTACCCGCTTGGTCACCAGCGTGGGGCGGCCCGACGAAGAACCCCGTCCACGACGGCGAGTCCGCAGCAGTGCGTTCACTGGGTATCCATCGAATGGCGCGACGTATCCGCGAGGCCGCCGACAGGGCACAGAGGCGACGCAAAGAATCGCGCAAGCCTCGGGCGCCAGAACGACCCTTGCCAACGGCAAGTGCTAGAGCCAAGTTGCCGACGGCGAACAGGAAGCGACGATGGCGAAGTCGTCCAGACCGAGCCGCGCGTCGCATCACGAAGCCGAACGCCCCCGCCCCGCATCGCATGATGGCCAAACCAAACCTCGAGTGACGCGAGCTGCGCATCGTAGCCCAGCCGTCGAAGGCCGCGATTGCGTCGGGCACTTCGTCGAAGCCGTCGAACGACATCGCTGGGACCGACCCGCCGCAACCGAAGCTGACCGAGCCGTCCGAAATCGGCGCACATGAGTGATGCATCGGCGATGGCGGTGATGAGGGGCTTCCTGAGCTCCCACGGGGCCTCGGACAGTGGCTGCAATCCTCGCGGCAATTTTTGTGTACGACGGCTTCGAAAACGGCACTGGGCTCGAGTCCGGGCGCATGGGCACGGGCCTGCACGGCATCTACAAAGCGATAGCGCCACCTCCCGGACAGGCGGCCAGCGGCCGCAGCCTGATCCTGCTCGACGGCCTTACGACAGATCCCAATGGCGCAAGAGAGGCGTTACTGCAAAAGGCCGTCGCGCTCCACTCACTCGGCCCTGACGTCGGCCCACTACAGCGGGATGAGGGCGGCCGCCGCCCGCAACTCTGCGATGACCGAAGGCCACGGCGGCGCGGCCGCCGGCGTGCCCAGGGCCATGAAGCGGTATACCGAGTTCAAGATCAACAATATTGGCCCGTTGGCGGCCATGCCCCACGCGCAGTGGCCCACCACCGCTGACGGAGCCAGCGGCGACGCAAGGCTGCGCCTGAGGAGGCCGAGGAGGGCCTGCCGCAGTCTTCACAGCCTGTCGCTCTTGCACCCGACGACACCTACATCGCCCAGGATGTCCAGGCCCATGAAGACCACGCGCTGGGCCGCGGCGGCGAAAGCCCCGACGGGTAGACCCCGCACCTCCAGCACTTCACGGATGGCCTGGCAGGCTGCGGCAGCAAGATCGGGGCCCATGGATACAGAGGCGAAGTTGTCGACGTAGCCAGCGGCCATGACGTCGCTCACCTCCCGCGACGGCGAAACGGCAGCCCCGTCGACCAGCACGGACCCGTCGTTGACGCCAGTCGAGGATGGCCGAGGCGAAGGCCGACTGGCAGAAGTGGAGAGCCCACGACCAGCCCACCGGCATGACGGCCACGAACGGCTGCAGGTAGGAGTTTGTCCCGACGGACAAACCACCGAGCCGCTCGAAGCCGAGATGCCAATTCAAAACGACGGGCATTGAGAAATATCCGTGCTGATGTGGCGGTAGCTTCACGTGGTAGAATGAGCACTGCATGCCACCCCGGGCGACGTACAAATCGCCGCTAGCCTCGAGTACACTCCACGCCGACGGAGGAGTCGCGAAAGACAAGTTGGCGACCCGCGCGTCGAAGACGAGGCGCAAGTTGACGTCGTTGGACTTCTCGACGAAGAAGAAGCCCGTAGAGAAGGTCGCCCGACGATCGGCGACCTCCCACTCAAGCACGCCAGCCTGGTCGAGGCGCAGCAGGAAACCAGCGTACTCCGGAGGCCGAAATCGGAGGCGAGGGCCAACGCACGGGGCACCCTGAAGGCGGCTGAATCAGCAGGGCCACGTAGCAACGTCTGGCGATCAGCATCGGCAACGAGGTCGGGCATAGGGACAGGCGCCACGTGCTTCGGCCAGGAGACGAGCTCCTCGTTGTAGGGTCTTACCCGAGACTCTCCTGAATACCCAGGCACTGACGCGAGCGACTCTACCAGGACTGCCTCGCATCTTTGGGGGGATTCAGAATAACCAGGAGGGACTTCAGAATCGCGACTCTGTTGAGAAAGATACTCTCCAGCGTCACTGCGAGCACGCGGAAGAAGACCAGGAGGCGGGGAGGCAATATCAGACGGATCGCAACGGTACATATCGTTGAGCATGTCTACGGCATCGTTGAACCACTCCCACCATGCTGCACCCTTGGCGGCCCGACCGCGGGCCGACCCGCCCCGCGCGGACGTGCCCGACCTTCGCTCCACAGGAAGAGGACGGAGAGGCAAAACGTCTCGCTGTCGCTCTGGATGGGCAGCGAGGGGGCAATGCGACTGGCTGGCGCCACACGGGCGCGCCCCACAGACAGGCCCGAGGTCAGGCCCGGCCTCCCGCGAGCCGTAGGACGCCCCTTGCTGATGGCGGCCTCAGCCTTCATGAGCTCCGCGATGCACTCGAGCAACTTCGGCGAGATACAGAGATTGGCTTTCGAGACGCCCGCTCCGAGGAAGAAGCTGGTCTCGGGCGCGGACCCGCTGGCCGCGGGCGAAACCTTGCTGCCAGCCTTGGCCGCGGGGGCCGCCGCGCCGGCGGAAGGGACCCGAGTCTCGTAGGCCCTCCCCTCGAGCAGCTGGAGCTGACGTGCGACCACCTCGAACGAAGCCATCTTGGAGACCTGCAGCTGGTCATAGACCACGGCGAGGTCCAAGACACGGCACAGAGCCTCGTGGAGCTTGGCGTACTCGTCATCGTCGGGCAGCCTCAAGGCCGTGAGCCACCTCTGATGCCAAGCAGTAGGGGTGCCAGCCACCGTCGACATGAAAGCGAGGCACCAGAGCAAGGCCCTCGGCCCTTGCACGGGCCACACTTGCACGGGCATCTCGGTGAGGGCGTTGGCGGTCTCGCCGAACCTCCGCTCGCGTTCCCCCCGAACGTCGGTCTGCATCGGGGAGATCCTGAAATCACCGCCAGCAGCCGCCGCAGCCGCCACAGAAGCTCCACGGACAGCAGCCGCGGCTGCAGCGGCCGCGCCAGGCACAGCAGGAGGGGGCGGTCGCACCCACGCGGGGAGCGGCGCGCCCGCAGCAGCAGGCGGTGCACCGCCCAGCGCAGCGGCCAACGCCGGCAGCCCAGGGCCCGCGCCGAGGGCGGCGGCTGCAGCAGGCGCCGCTCCAGGCACCACAGCCAGCGCACCGCCAGGCGCGGCGAGCGGCGACGCCCCGCCCACGCCAGCGGCAAGCGGCGGGACCCCTGCGGGCGCAGCGGGCGCAGCGGGCGCAGCCGCGGGGTCCGCCAGAGGGAAGGGGCCAGGCGGGGCACCCGCCTTGTTCCCAGCCGCGAGGGCCAGAGGCAGCGGCTTGGGCGGCGGCGGGTAGCCCGCCGCCACGGATCGGCTGACCGCGGCCCACAACTCGCCTGCGGTACGGAGGCGACGGAAGCGGTGGACCGTCGCCCCGACGAGCCCTGGAGGCGTGTCACCCTGCCCCGTCAGGCGGAGGACGGCGCGCATGTCAGGGCCAGGGAGGTTCGGCTCGTCGTAGTCGTCGAGGTCGGGGGCGACGATGTACGACAAGCCACCGTGCTCGCCGAGGGTGAGCCTCTCGTGCCACAGAGGCGGGCCCCCGACGCGGTACCGCACCACGTGGAACGTGCTCGCCAT